CTTCTTCTTCTTCTTCTTCTTCTTCTTCTTCGTCTTCTTCTTCTTCTGACAAGCAACATTTATAAGGGGCATGGTCCAATCGATCGTCATAGGGGCGGGGGCGGAAGGGACCGAAAAATGACCACTGCCGTGAGTCTGGTGACGCCTGCACAGGGCAATGTATGCGGGCGCCCGCTCGACATTTCGGTTGACTGAATTTTCATCCGAGGCCCAGGTTTCAATCAGTTCTCTGCCTGTCTTGTTTTCGGCGTGGGCAATTATCCTTGCAGCTTTGAAGTTAAACTCGTGACTCGTCTCACAGGAGCGGGCAGCCAATTTCGAAAATACGTCACCCAGTTGTACAGCCAGCTTATGTTCGTGTATGTGCGAACCAAGCATGCGTCCAGTCCGCCCTGTGTAATGTCCGACTGCTCACCGGGGTTTAATTGTTCCTTGATTCTCATGACCCGGCTGCAAATGATTGCCTCTGGACAGTGTGTAGACATGTTTCCCGATACAAGTTCCCGGAAAAGATCATATTTTCCGGCACCGGTTAGGTCGATAAGTGAAAAACACGAAGTTAAAGGTCTCTCAGTATATGGTCATCTCAATTTCTGTCCACGCATTTCATGCCATAGGTGTCCTACAGCAAATTAACATGTTCATGACACTGGCACTTATCGATTTTATTGATTATTATTGTCAGATTTAACTGATTACGTTTTGCGCATCACTTCGCTAGCGGCAGATAAATTTTTTGTTTCAACTACTATCAAACCGCTCAAACTGAAAAACAAAAGTAGTAGGGAGTTTTGGGTGATTTGAATAATTCATTTGATTCACTTGTGAAAACCTCGGCGGCCTCGGTGGGATTCGAACCCAGTAGACTGGGTTGATACACTGACTCAAATGTGATTAAACTCACGATTCCCAGTGGGGGCCTCGCAGTTCACTTGTCTAGAGCGTTGGCTGTACTAACACCCTGCCCCTTGTTGGCGTGCGTTGAAATCCCACAGAGGTTGTCGAACTTTTTCATAAGTGGGTCAAAGGACTGAAACAAACTAGCCATTTCCAAACGCAAGGAGTTATAGCATCCGCCAGCCTTTGTAATTGGTCTTAATTTATCCAGGCAGATAGTATTGCCGGCAAGGACAACGGAGACTGGACTGGACATTTCTGGCTCATTAGCTGTCCCAAGTGCTGTCACACCTGAGCCTCGAACTCGCCGACTCTTTGATCAGCGTCAAACGCCCTATATATTGTACCACGAGCTCGCAGTCTTGCCAGTTTACGTCGAGGAATATTGACACTCGTTGATGAACGTTCACCCGACCGCTAACGAAACGCATCTGTCCCGTTCTGCTTTGGGACTCAACATAGGCCCTT